AGTTATTTGCCAAAAATTCCATAATTAGAACTCTTTGCATATGTTAAGATTGTAACAGGTGGCCGAGGAAGAAAAAGACACAAATTGTGGTAAAATAATCAGGATGCATAGTGGTCTGAATATGCTCTGTCTTGGCTAGAAACCTGACTGACAAATCTCTTCAATTTACAGAATCACTTTGAGTATGGTCTATTTGTTTCAATCTTTGTAGGGATATTGGATTGTTTATGTTGGATTCATTGCCTTCAGACAACCAACCACACTGTGCTCTAAATCTTGACAGAAAGCAATAGAGCCTAATAGAAAACATTTTGCACATTAAAAGTGCAACTCCTACTCATACACTTAAGTAAGACCCGTTTTAAACCAAACTAAGAAGTCTAGAAGACTGATCCCTTGCAGCCCAGACGAGGACTAATGAGCTGTGATCAATACAAACATTTAAATATGATTTTGAAATATGTACAGTTGGAAATGTTGCCATATTTCTCTGCCTACTGACAGTCACAGTAAATGTGAGCTGTAGACATGGGGGCTGGGCCATTGTTTGCGACAGCGAGGCAGTAAATCAGCCAGTGCTACCCTTGATTTGTTAACCTTTGTTTGGCTGTTTCAGCAGCATGAGGCATGGCAGGAGCGGCCCCTTTCATGGTCATAAAATACTGCCTTTCTCTCAGTAGTTGCAGCCATGGAGAGGAAGAAAATGGGGTAAGGGGGCTTCCCTCTGTGCGGCACAGGATATTGAGCTTCCTTTACCCCTTAGAGATACCTTAAATGCTCATAGTGGGGGACGGGTAACCAGCAAAAATGGCTGGAATCTGCTTCAGTGATGTATCATTCAGACTTGAATCCTTCAGATCCCTGTCTTATTACTCAAAACATGCACATTATTAAATATCAAAAGAGCATTTTGATTTGAATTAAGCTTGTGTTTGAGCCAAAACAACAACAGTGCTTTATTTCAGCAGTTATGTGTCTGGAGGGAGGGGGCAGCGACCTCTCTGTGACCTCCCAGCCCCTGGCAGAGAAAAAGAGACCGTCCTTGACTGCAGCCGTTCAGAAGGCACGAAAGGCTAATGGTAGTCAGGTCATCTTTCCACTGCGCATCAGGTCAAGTTCCACAGGCAGCCCTGATTTCTTGACACACAAACCCACACAGACGGCAGAGGTCAGCATGAGGGCAGTTCAGGCAGCCTGGGGCAGTAAACCAACACTGGTGCTGTGAAAGGCCAACCTTCTCTTTCCAGTCCACTGAATGAGTTAGGGAGCTGCCTGGGTGATTTGTGGCATGATTGTTGCTCTCTATATCACTTGAGATTACAGCAGGTGGCAGCCCACAGCCTGGAAGCACACACAGCTCTATCACTAGTCCACCTCTCAGGAAACAGAGAGAGAATGAGGCAGAGAGAGAAAAACAAGCCCTCAGCTCCCTCCCACACAGCAGTAATACGCTCACAGGCAATTTCGCTGCCAGCAGAGCTCTCTATGACAATCCAGGGAGCTCTTCAGCTCTGATATCTGCCACAAAAGTTCACCTCCGCTTTTCTCTTTCCACTATTTTTTTAAACAATGCCATCAGCGCTGCAAATTACACCTTCCACATCGCACATTATTCTCTCCCCTGGTGACAGACGCACTCAAGCCCGACACACTTCACCAGCGGCGCTCTTCACGCTGGCGTCAGCCCCGGGTCTCGCTGTAGCACCGCTTCATTTTCACATTAACTCCAGTAAAGCATGGTGAAATCAGCGCTGTGCTGAGGGGGGGAAACTGAGAATCACTACACTGTGCACTTCAATTCACCTCCGCACTGAACTCGGTCTCATCGTAGACACAGCTGCAGGAGATGTTTCACGAGGGACTAGCTTCTCCAACATATCTACCAAATGAACTCTTAGAAAAATTGCGCTCAATCTAAAATCACATGATGAAGTCTCTCATTGTGTCCATGATTTAAATGTGATTTGGATGATGTATAGGCATGTAAAAGGTCATTAGAAATGGTTTTTAAAGAGATTTTAAAAAGATTTAATATCACTCACTGTAGCATTGCTTAGTCTTAGTATTTTCCATTGTCTTTACTCAAAAACCTCCTTAATATGCCAAACAGACTATCTATAGAGGCACACACTTGACTCAACAGTTCACTGATGAGAACATTTTCAAGCCTACTCTTGATAAATTGCATTGCAGAGCTTTTTAAATGTCATCCAGCATTATCTTAATCTTGCTGCTGGGGCTACGCTCAACAAACAATGCACAGTGAGCTTAGTCTCTGCTCTCCAGTGACCTAGCTGAGTCTCTGTCATGGTTTGTGGATTGACAATATCATAAAGAATGGGAATGTTACCGGGTGACAAGATATTACTGCCCTGGGACACAGCTTTAATCATTTGATAGATCTGTCTGCAGGCCTTTGTGGCGACACGCTGTGCTGGTTTGTCATCATCAGTATCTGTGCAACCCAGCACTTCAATCTACTCCCCGGACAGCAGTCGCAGACTTAATAAGGCTTGGTTACTGATTTCCACCCACAGCAGCTGGGAAGCAGCTTACACTTTAAAAAAGTTATTTATTTCACTGGTGACCAACAGACTACACCACATCTTTTTGACTGGTGCTTACTCTCCTGCAGAGCAAATTAATCAGGTTAGCTAGCTGACACCTGCAGGCACATTGACAACCGCGGTAATTAGAGCTAACATTTAATGACTCTTAGTTAATGAAATCTATTCCTGGGCAAACTGAACCCAGAGTGAGCTGGAAGGAAGGAGAAAAACAGCGAGGCAAAGCAGAGAGTGATGGTGACTTTAAGCTCCACATTAGACAACTGTGCAGTTGACACCGATGGCCCCGAGGTGAAGCTGACACAAGAGGGGAAGAAAACAAATCAACGCCTAAAACACAAAAGCCGCATTCTCATCAGTTGGATTTTCTTTTTAAAATGCAGTGTACGCCTCGGGCGGAAAGAAAAAAAAACACAGTGGCTTTTGAGGGAGCGTGAAAAATACACTGTAATTACGGAGCAGGTGAGAAGGCTGTGAGATTAAAAGATGAGGGACCAGCACTAAGTCTTCAAAGAGACCTGATGTTGCCCTTGGCTGATTTCCAGTCTTGCTGCAGAGAAAAAAGCCAACAGTCAGTCATTACCAAAGCTGCACATCAGCAGCTGAATTACAATGGCCTCTTCAATGCTTTGTTGGTTTAAGGTAGGTCCATGTCTTACCTTTGTTCAGTCACAATATTATTAATAATAATGGCACTGAGTCTGGAATCAGCCTTTGGCTCATCCACCAAGAATAATATACATTCTGTCATTCTGCCGAGTTATGTCGCTTTTTCTTTTTCTTGAACTACGTGTCATTAAAGCCTGATTTATTCACCAAAGACTATTTTCCTCTATTTCTGACCTAACCCTCTGGGTAAAGCTGTATTCTTACACCACAAACTATGGATTTCAAGACTTGCAAACTAATAACTGATATGTGCAAGTTGCTCTGCAGAATCAAGGTTATAGTTATATTGCAGAACTCCATATAATAAATTAGCCGTTGCTTTGTTTGGCACCTGTTTTTCCTGTCATGGCTTTCTCAGCCATATGCGGAACCCTAAAGCCCAATGAACATTTTATGTGTACCAACAAGAAAGTCTTTTTTGCACCTGCCTCTGGGCAAATATTGACACTCATCATCCCACAAACCAGCCTATCTCGCCATTTTTGTTGGGGCTGTTGCTTGTACTGGGGTTTGGTTGCATTAGAGTAATGGTAATCCCCTCCAACAAAAACCCACCCGACTCTTTTAATCTCAACACCCCCCTCCATCAAAATGCCTTTGGTCCTGGCTCTCCCTGCACCTGGATTCTTTTACTTGCCTTTTGCAATAGTTGAGTGCATTAGCATATGGCAGGAGAGGAGGAGGGGACAGAGATGGTAAAAGGGAAGAAAAGAGGGGATATTTAAATGGGAACAGGGGCCAAGAGAGTGGACTATCATGCAGCAGAGAGAAAGCGTATTTTGTGTACTGTTTCCCCAGTCAGGTCCTTTCATAGAGGAGGAGAGAGGAGGCCCCTCTGTTGATTTAGGCTGCACAAAGGGGGCCTTAATCCTTTCAAGGGAACCAAATCAGTCCACAGAGAAGCACGTTCAAAAGGAAACCTCCCTGTCAAGCATGGCCATTGAGCCACCCCAATGGACGCCACAAATCAAGCCCTGGAGGGAATCAAAGGCCAGAATGTGGGAAATGTGTTTGGAGGTCTGTGCGGTGGAAAGTGCAGGGCCACGAGGAAGAGCGAGTGGGGGGACACAAGGACCTATCATCAGCAATCGGCCCTGTTACTGCCACAGCCCTGAAGGGGTCATAACCCTCGTCTCAGAGCCTCTCTCCTGCCCTGTGTGGAAACTCCCCCCCATTACAGAGGAATGTCCATTCACACGGGGCACCTCCATTATCGCTGAGCCAGAGAAAATGGGGCTGCTTTTAACAGCAAATTAGTGACTTGATAATGAGGTCACATGTGGTGTTGGCACACTGAGGCCATAAACAGATGCCTCTCCTGCCCTTACTCCATTCCTTGCAGCATTACTACATCCTCCTCTCTTCCTCTGGCTGCAGTACAAGTCCTGGTGTATCTCAGCACATTTACAACAAAGGGTCGCCAACACTGCACACTGCTTCATATCACATGTCACATGTATGTAATAACATAAAGCCTACATCACCTTTTTAGTTTTCACATTTTAATGATTGCATTTGACAGAAAGAGAGATTTTCATGTTGAGAAAGCAACAAGCTGTATTTTATACCTGTGCACCTTGTGTAAACTGGACCTGCTTTATAGATGTGATCCATTGTTGCTGTTGTGTTATTTTAAGTGACCATGTGAATATGACAATCACTGCGCTGGGACAATGCATACCAATTTTAACACAGTAATAACACCAGGGAAATGGCAATACACTCAAAACATTTGGCACAGCATAAAGAATAAAAAGCCTGTACCTTTAACTGCAGCTGTGCTGAAAAATTTCTCTGAGCTGGCATCGGAAACCTGGAAAAGAGTAGAATAAAATGAGCAAAACATCACATGCAGTAAAGCACAAAACCTGAATGAAATATCATTTTCCACCAAAATATCCAGACCCACTCCCAGAGAGTGTTTCTGGGGACGATTCAGAGCAATAACTGCTGACTGAGAGGACTTAATTGGGTAATGGTAAATAATTATTATTACACCAAAATTAAATTTTAAAATAAACCTTAATCCTAAATTCACACAGATAAGATTTGTGATCTTACTTTAATATACATCTGACAATTTGTAGTCAATCTATGCTCAGCAGTCTCCAATGTCAAACTTAAACCTGTTTAAGACGACACATATCCAGCATCCGCATCCTGTCATACTCAAATTGTGTCCATAATTATTTGAGCAACCTGAGCATCATGATCAGAACCAGTACTGGATATCAGACTGAAACAAAACAAGTGGCTCTTCACATTCAGGCCACTTGATGGCACTGTTGCTCCGTGACAAAACAAATCCATCCGTTCTCCAAGCAGAGCACCAACAGCATCACTGTGTTAGAATAAAACGCGCTGTGATGGGATTTAAACCTGAATTACAAAATAAAAGGCTTATATTGGTGAAAATCAAGTTATATTTCCACCACGTCATTTAAATGAAAGGTTATTATATTATAAAGTAACTACAGGTTCCAGGGACAGGGAAGAAACAGGACAACACCCGTTGAGCTGCACACGGGTGAGACTGACTGACAGGTTTCTCGGAATAAAATGATTTTCTGAGAACTGGCTTTAAGCCTTCCCTCGCCTCGGATTATTTCATGCTAAATTACAAAAATACAATGTTAAAGCTTTGACGGCAGGGTTAGATTTCCTTGTGCTATAATAACCTCAATGACAGGAATATTCCAAATCTGCGTCCAGTGACAGCTTTATGCGACTCGTGTCTTTTATCCCAACATATGTTTGTTATTAAGTATTATAATAAATAAATCTAAATTAAGAGAGAATAGTGCGAATAGAAAACTAAACGCATGTTGTTTTATTGTTAGATATAAAAGCTTGTAATGAATCAGGTATTCATTCACTAATGCAACAGTGACAGAATGTAAACAATGAAAGCTGCGGAATAAATGACAGCAGGAGAAGTGGCATGAAAATGGTTACTATTAGACATATTGCAGACCTCAGACCATCCTGCACACTATCACACACAATGAAAGCCAAGATTAGAAGCAGCTCGGAGCCAGCGCGCATACCTTTGATGTGGCAAGGTTAGCAAGGAGGCAAATAAGTCAGGATATTACTTTCTCGGTCTGGTAAATATGGCCTCGTTTCACATTCTGCTTTTCAAATAATATAATCCACACAAGAGGCGGCGAAGTCTACTCCGTTTAAATTGAGGACAGCCATGCGGAGAGAGAAGAAGCCTTTCCAAGAAAAAAAAATCCAAAGCCGTTCACAAAGCTACTGCGCCTTTTGGACAAAGGGAACCATGTGTCTCGCCACGGAAAGCTTCTGCAACAGCACTGAGGCGACCACAGAAAAAATCCCTTCATCCACCTTTCTTTTCTTGCTTGGGACACAATGTGATTTTTTTCACGTATATTCTCCTGTCGGAAATATCCGGGAGAGGTAACAAACAGGATCCGGGAGGGTTCGTGTGTCGGTGCGCAGAGAGGGGCTGCGTCCGACGGAGCAAACCAATCCAACAAAGCGCACTGCCAGTTTCCTCTGCACAGACAGAGACGGAGGCGAATCACACGAGCAGTGAGCAAAAATTCACAAGGTATAAGCCCGCCGTCGCTGTGTGTTCAGCTGCTCTCTCTGACGGATCCCGGTCGTGGGCACACAAGAGCCTCTCCCCATCCGCTCCCAAGCAGCACACAAACTCCCATTCATCCAGCGACTGCCTGCCTGAGTGCTGCTGCTGCTGCCTTCACGGTCGGGTCCTCCCACTTCCTGATTTCCAGGCGGACTTGAATTCAACCTCAGTCGTGCTCCTTCAGAAGACAAACACACTCGTGTCTTTGGGGCTTCCGAAAAGCTTGGAGCTGGATTGCAGAGGCGCACATCAGCGCTTTTAGCTTTTGCGTAAATGGCGCGCAAAAGGAGAGACAGCAGCGCACCACAGCTAGATAAGGAGGCAGAGAGGGAGAGAGCAAGAGAGAGAGGGAAGAAGAGAAATGAGGGAGGGAGCGGAGAGCTGAGGCAGAAATGTATTCTTTCTTTCACTCTGTACTGAGTGAGATGATGTCAGCCCCTAATGAATTCCCCAGTAGGGTGCTGCTACCGTGAGGGGAGGAAAAACAAAACGCTCCTTTATGAGCAGCATGCACCTCCTCGCAGCCCACAGGCGCTGTCTTCCTCTTGGATCAACTACCACTCTCCACTGGCCTGAAGGGAGGTCAGCTGGTAATATAAAAAGCACTTTGGGTCATTCAGCCTTCAATTTGAGCTTTCTGTGGCCCACCCTGACAGACCTAACAAGCTTCCACCTCTGACACTGCAGACCTAAATCACGACTACCACGTTTATCATTTGGTGAGGATTTTTATTTCTTAGGTTGCCCACCCAGAGTCACAACAAAACATCCCTGCTGGAGCAGGCAGAAAACACCTTCTAGCTGTTTCTCAGCGTTGATGCCACGGTGTGTGTATTTAGAAGGGATCACACAGATTTAAGATGGGACACTATCCTGTTAATATTCACACAGCAGGCCTGAAAGTAATATTTACCTGAGAAGCAACAGTGCTCACTCTTCCTCACCTCATTCCCTAACATTTAACATTCCTGGAAAATCCTCTTAATAGTGCAAACCCTTGCATCCTATAGCTTGTCTAATGAGCATTAACCCACTGACTGGGAGGTCAATGGATGTACAATAGAGTCACATTGCAAAGTCTTTCTCTGCCAGTTCAGCCCAAGCAACCACAGAGCAGAAAACAGACTTAGCTCATAGCTGAGATGCTAATCCATCCCTCGGTAACAGAGAGACCGAGGGGTCCGTTGGCTGGCTTGGACTGGGCATACAAACATGAAGTCATGGGAAATGGGATATACAGTTGCCTGAGATTCAGAGTGACATAACAAATCCTCACACATCAGAGTCAACACAACGGCACTTTTGTCCAAACTGCAGTCAGATACACAGTCGGGTCAAACTGAAAAGTTTACATTTGGCAGAAAATGATTTATCCCTATTAACTTACAATGGGCTTGGCATAAACTGTTCATTGACACACTGATGACATACAGAACAAAAAATGTGAAGTATCATCAGGGGCTGAGAGGGATTGGCCTCAGGTGGCCAGTTAAAATCCAGCCACTTGGTTCAGCTACAGAGCATAAAGGCTGTGGTCACAAAGGGCCTGGGAGAAAGAACACATGCTTATGTGTTCATCAAGTTAGAGGCTCCTGCTATGTATCCTTGTATGTTTCACAGATGTATACATTGTGTATCAAACAACTTAAACTAATGAAGTCACTAACCTCTGGCTCACTGTTGCTCACACGCTGTGGGAAAACGTCTTTGATAACTACAGTGAGATTATTTGCTGTACAGTGCCACGGTTCATGCACAAGTATAACGGAAATGCAGTAAATCATGTCTAAAATTAGTTGCAAATGTACTAACTGTGGTTACATGTAATTAGAACACAGGGATTTTTATGTTTGAAGCGGTGATTGTGATGAAACATCAAGAGCACAGTGGTTTGGCTTCAAACGCATGACATGGCTGGCTTCAAGATATGTATTTATACGACTGCCACTGACAGAAAATGGCTACCAGTCGTTTCACAGGCCTGTGCAGGAGCAGCAGCAGCAGCTATGAACAAGCTGCTGTTCTCCATTTTAAATGGTCATTATCAGATTTAAGAGTGACCACAAGCCACACCGCCAAACAATCGGCCTCTGGATCTCTCACTGCACATTATTTTTAATTCAAATGAAACGATGAGAGAGATGAACACACACATAAAAATGAGAACCCTGCACAGTTTCACATGGAAAAACATCGTCTGTGCAAGAGAATGAAGCAGTGAGATCAAACACAATGTCTGGATGTATGAAATGTATCTCAGTAATTGCTGTCTGGGCACGTAAGTTCTGTCTATAGACCATCAGCTTCACACTGACATTTTGTCATCTTTTATTCCTTTTTTTGGACGCTGATTCTCCGCTTCAAAGAAACCAGAGGCATGTTTGTCTCTCCCCCCACAACCATGGTTTAATTTTACAGGAACTCTCTCCTAGATTACAATCACAGGGGACCGGCTCGACTTCATGAGCCTTCCTGCCATTATGCCAAATCTACCCTCGTTTGAAATATTACTGATAAGTGTAACATGAGTGCTGGCAATGTAATATGTTAAAAGCTCTTATTACGTTTGTCGGTTGACTCAGACCTCTGTCTTTGCTTTACATGGGGAAAAAAAATCTCATGATTTAAATTAAGATTGGATGCTAAGGCCAGGAAATGGAATGGAAGTCATCATCAGCGGTGAATAATCACCATCTCAGGTAGGGGTGGGTATTTCAGAAACAGTTTCACCTCATAGTGAGGTCTCTGTGAGAATTAAACACTGTAACTCCTGTACCAGACAAAGTAGTACAGATAAACACAAGTTGACAAAACTGAGTCTACAGTCATGGCTCTGTGAGGCTGTGCTTAGGCATAGCGGTGCTTTGAGCTAACATGCTCACAATGACAATACTAATATGCTGATGTTAAGCAGCAAAGTAAGAATACATCATCAGGGCACCACAGATGTCTGTACAAGATTATTCACAGGCTAAGTGATGGTAGATGAAAAGTCAAGAATCAACATAATATCAATCTATTCCATAGTTGTTGAGAGATTTTACTAATAAACAACATTGTCTTTCTTATGCTAGCACTAGATAAAATGGCAGGCTCACCAAAGTCATTCATATTCATCTTGCACTGTGAATGCCTGCAGAAAATTTCATGGATCTACATCCAGTAATTGTTGGATTATTTCAGTCTTGAATTTCCCTCGG